CCCAAGTAGCTGGGATTACAGGCATGTGCCACCACACCAGGCTAATTTTTTTTTTTTTTTTTTGGTAGAGACGGGGTTTCTCCATGTTGGTCAGGCTGGTCGAGAACTCCTGACCTCAGGTGATCCGCCCGCCTCAGCCTCCCAAAGTGCTGGGATACAGGTGTGAGCCACTGCGCCCAGCCATTTCAATTTTTATTTTATGGATTTATGTTAGAAGGTTGTTTTTTCCTTTTTTGAGATGGAGTCTCTCACTCTGTCACCCAGGCTGGAGTGTAGTGGTGCGATCTCCGCTCACTGCAACCTTCACCTCTTGGGTTCAAGCAATTCTCCCCGCCTCAGCCTCCCAAATAGCTGGGATTACAAGCGCCTACCACCACACCCAGCTAATTTGAATTTACATTAAAAGGCTGCAGATTTTTTTTTTTTTCTAAGCATCTAGAAATTCTATCTTCAAAGGCAAATCCAAATATCCGTAATAAATGAGTCAAATTAAAAATATTAAAAATTCATTTTAGGCTGGGCATGGTGGCTCTTGCCTGTAATCTCAGCACTTTGGGAGGCTGAGACAGGCAGATCACCTGAGGTCAGGAGTTTGAGACCAGCCTGGCCAACATGGCGAAACCCCATCTCTACTAAAATATACAAAAATTAGCCAGGTGTAGTAGCGCATGCCTGTAGTCCCAGCTACTCGGGGGGCTGAAGGAGGAGAATCTCTTTGAACCTGGGAGGTGGAGGTTGCAGTGAGCGGTAATTACACCGCTGCAATTCAGCCTGGGTGATTTTTTTTTTTTCTCAAAAAATAAAAATAAAAATAAAGATAAATTCATTCTGGAGCTTAAATTTTTTTTTTTTAATTCAATTGGGAAAAATTATACAGCCAATAATCTAAGGTGTTCAGAAGTGCATTTTAACAAAAATTGGTCAGGTGTGGTGGCACATGCCTGTAGTCCCAGCTACTCAGGATTTTTTTTTTTGAAGATGGATCTGTTTAGCCAAGGAAATCGAGGCTGCAGTGAGCCAAGACTTTTTTTTTTTGCTTCAGCCCAGGTGACAGGGTGAGACTACCATCACAAAAAAATAAAAAATTTTTTTTTTTGTTTTTTCTGTCCTTATTTTTTTTTAATTTTAGAGACAGGGTCTCACTGTATTGGCAAGATTGGACTCCAACTCCTGAGCCCAAGTGATCCTTCCATCTCACATTCCCAAGTGGCCGGGACTATAGGTGCACACCATTGTGTCCAGCTCTTCCCCCTCTGTAATTACTGCTTGGCAGCACTGAGCTTCTATCAAGTCCCCTGAGGGGTGGCAATGAGCGAATGTGATAGCTAGTTTTTTTTTTTCTACAATCTAGGAACATTTCTGGCTTTTTTTTTTTGAGACACAGTTTTGTTTTTTTTTTTTAGGCTGGAGTACAATGGCGTGATCTCAGCTCACTGCAACCTCCACCTCCCTTTTTTTTTTTATTCTCTTGTCTCAGCCTCCCGAGTAGCTGGGACTACAGGCGCCCACCACCACGCCGGCTAATTTTTTATTTTTTTGTATTTTTAGTAGAGACAAGGTTTCACCATATTGACCGGGCTGGAACTCCTGACCTTGGGTGACCCACTCACCTCGGCCTCCCAAAGTGATGGGATTTTTTTTTTTTGCCACGGCACCTGGCCCCTTTCTTGCTTGTATGCTCTACCATAATAAAGGGGGCAAAAATAAAATTGCTTTTACAGCTGCCCTCACAGACCCCACCTTTCCAGAGCTTCTGTTTTTTTTTTTAATCTTAATATATTCAAATAATGAAATACATTTTCCCAAAACCTTTCTAGTTTTTTTTTTTGTTGCCTATCCTACCTTCCACCCCCAAATCTCTCAACTTGTGGTAAATTAGAAAGAGCAGGTTCTAGCTTTGGGCTCTTTTTAGAATGAAAAAATATCTTCATTGGTAAAGTTTTTTTTTTTAAATGCCCTTAAAGACCCACTCAATATATCTCCTATCTTCAGTTATATCATTTTTTTTTTTCTCAAGGTCTCACTCCTTGTTTCAGGGTGAAAAGCAATGTGAAGAGTTAGTTTTTTTTTTTTAAAAGAAGAAACAGGTAACAATTTTAAAGCCAATATTTGCATAAGCCTTTATTTCAAATCTGTTTTGCATAAAAGTAGCCTGCTCTCCATGTTTTGGTTTCATCATTTCGTTTTTTTTTTTACTTACGCCAGCTGTGCACAAAGAACAGCAAAAAGCTTAAATAGCAGAGCTTTTTTTTTTTCCAAACACAGTGTGGCAGATTAGATGCAGTTGTGAACATGGGTTAATGCATTTTTTTTTTTCACATGCGTTTCTGGAGAATATTCTCCAGGAATTAGAAAAACCTTAAAGGATTCCATTTAGTACAGAGTTCTATTCTAGCCACAAGAAAAAGACTGGATTGATCCAGTCTCTTTTTTTTTTTTTACTAGTTGTGTGATCTTTCAAAAGTCCAACTCTGTAAATGTCACTATCTACCTCAGAGTTTGAGGAATGATAAGATTAGATAATAAATAGAAGAATGCTATGCAAATTTTAGGTGTTGCTCTAGTTTACACATACACCTTCTGTTTACACACAAATGACCTGACATGTCCCCTCATGGCTTTAAAACCATCCTGCACTGTACCAATCACCTCATCCCCCAACTCCATCCCCATACTTCACTCCACCACAGACATATCCTTCCCTGACAAACACATCCTTCTTCTCTATTTCTTTTTTTTTTTTTGACTTGCCTCTGATCTTCATTTACTGAAAACATACTCAGGTGACCCTTGAACAACAAAGCTTTGAGCTGCCTGGGTCCACTTATACACAGCTTTTTTCAACCAAACATGGTTTTTTTTTTTAATATTCTCAAATGTGAAATCTGCATGTGTGGAAGGCTTTTTAATTTTTTTTTTTTTTTTTTCTCACTTTGCTACCCAGGCTGGAGCGCAATAGTATGCGATCAGTTCACTGCAGCCTCGAACTCCTGGGCTCAAGCGATCCTCCCACTTCAGTCTTCCTAGTAGCTAGGACTACAGGCACACACCACCATACCCAGCTAATTTTCGTGTTTTTTTTTTCTGGTAGAGATGAGGTCTCATTATGTTGCCCAGGCTGGTCTCAAACTCCTAGTCTCAAGTAATCCTCCTACCTTGGCCTCCCAAAGCACTGAGACCACAGCTGCTTTTCTTGCATGTGGGTTCCACAGGGTGACCATGGAACTTGAGCATGCATGATTTGGTTGTACACAGGCGGTCCTAAAACCAATTCCCTGAGTTTTTTTTTTTTTGACTATGTCCATGGAGACTGGTTTTACAACCCCCCCGTACCAAAATCCATTTTTTTTTTTGTCCCTTATATAAAACAGCATACTATTTGCATGTAATCTACTCACATCCCCCCTTTAAATCATATCTACATTATTTATAATACCAAATACAATGTAAATGCTATGGGAACATTTTTTTTTTTATTTAGGGAATAATGACAAGAAAAAAAAAGTCTGTATGTACATGTTCAATTTTTTTTTTTTCATCCATTTTCTTCCCCCAGATATTTTCAATCCACAGATGGTTGAATCCATTTTTTTTTTTCCATGCATACAGAAAGTCAACTGTACTCATCCTCCAAAACTTGGCTCAAATTTTTTTTTTTCACAGAAGACTTGCTGAATCCTTCCTGTGAAATCTGTTACATATCTCTGCTTTTTTTTTTTTTTTTTTTTTTTTTTTTGAGATGGAGTCTCGCTGTGCCTCCCAGGCTGGATTTTTTTTTTTTGATCTCGGCTCACTGCAAGCTCCGCCTCCCGGGTTCACGCCATTCTCCCTTTTTTTTTTTCCAAGTAGCTGAGACTACAGGCGCCCGCCACCACGCCCGGCTAGTTTTTTTTTTTTTTTTTAGAGACGGGGTTTCACCATGTTAGCCAGGACAGTCTCGATCTCCTGACCTTTTTTTTTTTTCGCCTCGGCCTCCCAAAGTGCTGGGATTACAGGCTTGAGCCACCGCGCCCGGCCATGCAGATATCTTTTTTTCATTTGAGGCAGGGTCTCACTCTATCACCCAAGCTGGAGTGCAGTGGCATGATCACAGCTCACTGCAGCTTCAACCTCTCCAGCTCAGGTGATCCTCCCACCTTAGCCTCCTGGTTAGCTAGGACTACAGGCCCACACCACTATGCCTGGTTAATTTTTTGTATTTCGTTTTGTAGACATGGGGTTCTGCCATGTTGCCCAGGCTGGTCTTGCAGTTCTGGGCTCAAGTGATCCACCTGCCTCAGCCTTCCAAAGTGCTGGGATTACAGGTGTGAATCACTGCTTTTTTTTTTTATCTCTATCTTAATACATCCTTCATATTCCCAGCATCTAGCTTCATCTTGCAAAAGGACAGGATTCAGTAATATTTATGGAACTAACAACCTTGAATTCCATTCTCTAGACTTTTTTTTTTTACTATATATTCTGGAAGAAAAGATGCTATATTCAGCAACAGATATTAGTGTTTTTTTTTTTGCTAAGGCATGGATTTTCATATCTATCCTCAAAGTTATATAATTTTTTTTTTTTTTTTTTTCGGAGTCTTGCTGTATTGCCCAGGCTGGAGTGCAATAGTGTGACCTTGGCTTTTTTTTTTTTCCACCTGCCGGGTTTAAGCGATTCTCCTGCACGCCTGCCGAGTAGCTGGTTTTTTTTTTTGCACCACCATGCCCAGCTAATTTTTTGTATTTTTAGTAGAGACAGGGTTTTTTTTTTTTTTCCAGGCTGGTCTCAAACTCCTGACCTTGTGATCCACCTGCCTCAGCCTTCCAAAGTGCTGGGATACAGGCGTGAGCTGCCGTGCCAGGCAAAATTATATATTAACATATATTTCTAATAACAACTTATTTAAAAGCCCAACCATATGCCAATAAGCAATCCATAGAAACTTTTTTTTTTTTTTTGGGAGAATAAAGTTCCTGAATCTACACTATTTCAAGAACATATCATAGATTTTTTTTTTTTCATCTAAAGTGATGTCCTGCAGACCAATGGTTGCAAAGTTAGGCTCCCGTTTTTTTTTTTCAGGTTTAATGCTCACGGTTGCCCCATCAGGTGGAAATGAAGCTGGATCATTTTTTTTTTTACATATTAAGGATGAAGGTGCAGAAAGACCCCCCTGGCCTGTACTTTGTGTTTTTTTTTTTTGCTGTCCAGAATGCATTCTGGTGGCTGGAGACGGTGATGAGGCAGTTCCTGAGCTAGGAGATTGGTAAGGCATAGACTGAAGCTGAGGAGACGGTGGCCCAGAAAGTGGTTTTTTTTTTTTGGGATGAGAAGCTGCTGGGGAAGCTGTTGTAGCAGACCCTGAATGTGAAGTTTTTTTTTTTACAGGTTGTAACTGAGAAGAAGGCTGACCGGTAATCTGGTCAGTCACTGGTTTTTTTTTTTATCTTTGTCCTGTATTTGAACAATGATATCCCATTGATTGTAGATGAGGCTTTTTTTTTTTAGAATGAGGTGTATGGGCTAAGAGATGTCCTGTTGAGCCTGAATTTGAAGAATGAAATGGTATGGATGACAGTGGTTGACAGCCAAGATTCACTAAACCAGGAAGAGTTGCATCCTGCTGAAACAAAACTGAATCAAATTCTTGACTAGAGGCAGCATTAATAGGAAGACAATTTTTTTTTTTGTACACAACGTTAGTTTGCATAGGCTGATAGGAAGACCCCACAGGAGGTGTTGGTGTGACTTGAAAAGGCTGGTGTACAACTGGAGAAGGAATCATATGCTGTTCTTTACTTTTTTTTTTTTCTCTACACTGCAACTGTGGCAGATGGGATGAGGTCACCATGGATGCATATGTTTGTGGGATGGAACAAACCAAACTTCTCTGTGCTGACAGTACACTGTCACGTGAATGCCCTGAATCAGAGGAAGGCCTCTGGGTCTGAGCAGGATGAGGCACAGGCAAAGATGGAACTGAAGACAAATCAATCTCTTCTCTGTGTTCTTGCTTCATCAAAACTGAAAATAAAATGATTAAATTTTTTTTTTTTATATAATACATAAAATAATTCTGACAGGCCTTCATGCTAGGTTACACAATTTTTTTTTTTGCTGAGGGACAAACTCAAATGCCTTTAAGGAACTTCATGTAAAACATCGGTTTTTTTTTTTTGTATGTGTAGACGTACATACATATGTATATACATACACGTTTTGCTTGTGTATAATATGAATATCTTTGGGAAGAGGCACAAGAAACTATGCTAGAGTCACTGCTAGGAAGGAAAACTAGGTGACTAAAGGACAGAATTCAGAGGTTTACCTTTTACTACATACTATTTTATTTTTTTTTTTGTTTTTCACTGTGTATTTATTACCTATTTCAAAATTAAGTAACTAAAACATTTTTTTTTTTCCTAGGGCCTAATAAAGTATTGAATTTGGGATCCCTGATCGGAAGCCTACCAATCATCTGGTTTTACATGTTGCATCATACACCAGAAACCATGACTCTGACATTCATAGATTTTTTTTTTTACAACAGTTCTCACACACATCTCACTTGATCCTCTGCCATCATGTGGGGATTTTTTTTTTTACTAAAATCCACAAAAAAACTAACAAATACATTCTGCAAAGTTGCAGGATACAAAATCAACATACAAAAATAATGTTATATTTCTATAAACTAGCAATAAACATCTGAATATTTTTTTTTTTAACAATTTCTTGTCGGCCAGGCTGGAGTGCCGTGGTGCAATCTTGGGTTATTTTTTTTTTTGATCCTCCCACCTCCGCCTCCTGAGTAGCTGGAATACAGGCATGTGCCACTTTTTTTTTTTTTATTTTTTGTAGAGACGAAGTCTTACTGTGTTGCCCAAGCTGGTCTCGGACTCCCATACTCAAGCAATCTTCCCACCTCAACCTTCCAAAGTGCTGGGACTATAGACATAAGCCACTGTACATAGCCAACAATTCCATTTATAATAACATCAAAAAACAATAAAATACTCAGAAATGATTTAACCATGGAAGGCAGGACTCATAACTGAAATCTATAAAACACTGCTGAAAGTTTTTTTTTTTGCCCTAAATAAATGGAAAGACATTCCAGGTCCATGGATTGAAGACTTAATTTTTTTTTTTTGACAACACTCTCCAAAGTGATCTTTTGTCAAAAAAAATTGATGTCCTTGATTTTTTTTTTTTGATCTTCAGATTCAATGTAATCCCTATCAAAGTCTCAGTGACAGTTTTTTTTTTTTTTTTAAAACTCACTCTAAAATACACATGGAATCTCAAGAGATTCCAAATAGCCAACATGATCTTTTTTCCCATGTGTCCAAGGCATAAACCAGGTATGGGCACAGACCAAAAGCCTTTTTTTTTTTAATAAGGCATTGATTCATCCCTGGCTTATATGAGATAGGCAGCACCAAACTTTTTTTTTTTTACCCAAGTCAAGGACAACCAACATCATCTTGAAAAAGAACAGAGTTGGATTTTTTTTTTTCTTCCTGATTTAAAAACTTACTACACAAAGCTACAATAATTAAAACAGTGTTTTTTTTTTTTAAGGATAGACATAATCAATGTAATGGAATAGAGTCCAGAAATAAATCCTCACATATTTGGTCAACTAATCTTCAAAAACAAGGGTGCCAAAACCATTTGATGGTTTTCAACAATGGCGCGAAGAAAACTAGACATCGACATGTAAAATAATGAAGGTTGGGCTGGGTGCGGTGCCTCACACCTGTAATCTCAGCACTTTGAGAGGCCAAGGTGGGAGGATCACTTGAGGTAAGGAATTCGAGACCAGCCTGGCCAACATGATGAAACTCTGTCTCTACTAAAAACACAAAATTAGCCAGGCGTGGTGATGCACCCGTGTAATCCCAGCTACTCAGGAGGCTAAGGCAGGAGAATTTTTTTTTTTTGGGAGGCAGAGGTTGCAGTGAAATGAGACAACGCCACTGCACTCTAGCCTGGGCCAACAAGAGTGAAATTCTGTCTCAAACAAAAATAAAAATAAAAAATAAAACTTAAAATTTTTTTTTTTATCAGCCATTTGCAATTAATGATCATCCCTCCACTGGATATTGATATTGGTTGGATCCCTATTGCAAAGGGATTGCCAAAAAGGTAATAAATTCAGAAATACTTTAATAAATTTTTTTTTTTACTATTGATGGCAGTGGTTGCCCATCTGGAGTGGCCACTGCCATGACACTGGCTGCAGTGGGCGAGGTGCGGCCAGCACTGCATGCTCCACAGAGCTGGTGAGAGCTGGGAACAGGTGGAAGCCCCGCCATCTTCTGAGTTGGCAGGGCGGGAGCCTTGTACTTCCTGGGTGCACTTGTGGCCACCCAGCTGCGGCTGCTGACCTGGGCATCCCTGTGCTCTTGGCGGGGGGAGGGGGGTGGTAGCAGGCAGAAGCCCCACCATCCTGGGTACAGCTACAGCCATTCAAACCATGGCTGCTGACCTAGGCATCTCTACACTCTCAGGGACCCAGAAAGTCCACCTCCCCCAACAGACTCAGAGGTGCCTGCTCCTGGTGCCTGGCCTCTCCCTGCTCCTGGTGCCCATTTCAATCTTGGAGGGAAGTTGAGGCCGAGCCCAGGCGATGTTGCAACTCAGCAGGGTGTGTGTATGCTTTTTTTTTTTTTGACACGCCAGACCCCTGCTGCCTCAGCCCCCTTCAGTCTTCGGGCACTGACGAGCACAGGAGGGATGTCGAGGTAGGCGTGAGGGCAGCTCAACCCTGGTTTGCAGGCACCTTTTTTTTTTTACAACCTGGGCACCATGAAAAGCAACAGGAGGCAGACAGGTTCCTGGGCGGAAAGGGGTGGGTCACCAGTGAAGCCCCACCTTCAAGCTGGAGAAGGCCTGAAGCCTGGGGACTGGGCTGCCAGTCCTGCGGACCAGAATGCAAACTTACGGTGCTTTTTCCGGGCCCACCCACGGCCACCCCATGGAACAGTTAGCATGCACTTTCTCTCCTCTGAAGCCCATATAAAACCTGGACTCAGCCATACTCAACAAGAGAAAACAGGACAACCAGCTGTGGAAAGGAGCTACCCACCTCAGGGTCTCCTCTCTGCTGAGAGCTGCTGAGAGCTGAGAAGACAACAGGACAACCTGCCTGTGGAGAGGAGCTACCCATTCTAGAGTTTCCTCTCTGCTGAGGGCTGAACACTTGGGACACCCTGGCTGCAGAGAGGAGCTACCCTCTGTGGGTCTTCTCTGAGCTGTTCTATTGCTCAAAAAAAGCTCCTCTTCGTCCCACTCACCCTCCATTTGTCTGCGTACCTCAGTCTTCCTGGGCATAGGACAAGAACTCAGTGGGGCTGAAAGAGTTGTAACACAAACAGGGTTGAAAGAGGCCCCTTTTTTTTTTTGTTGGCAGCACCAAGAAGGAGAGAAGAGCTGCGGTCTTTAGGGAGCCCAGTTTTTTTTTTTCCCTGAGCCAGGGCTGTGACACTCTCTTTGGGGCTCTGAGGTTCCTGGCATCTCCAAGTTTCTGGGGGCCACCATGTTCCCCAGTGCCAGCCATGGAAGCTGCCTGTGGTATTTTTTTTTTTGCTGCAGCCTCACAGGGAGCCACCACCCATGCAGGTGCCTAGAGCTGCCAGCCCCTCCATAGCCAGCGTGCCGACTCCACGCTCGCTCACTCACACACCCCTTCCCACTCTGCTCACCCTTGGCAGGCACGGGATCCAGGCCGGTAGCGCGAGCCACATGTAGCTTGCCAGGCCGAGTGGGCCCAGAAGGGCCATGGGCAAAGGTGCCACTAGCCACAGGGGTTTCCGGCTGGTTTTTTTTTTTCTCAAGGGTCCCGTAACAATATGACTATCTAAAAATTGTATAAGTAAAATTTTAAAAGGAATTATTTGCCATAAACAAACAAAAGGTTAGAATCTCTAAATAAAGAATTCATTTTTTTTTTTGAGATAAAAAAATAACACTAACATAACAGAGATCAGGTCATACAACAGAATTTTTTTTTTTTATTACAATTCTGTAAAACTCTGTCGATGAAGAAAAATTAAAATGTTCAGTTTTTTTTTTTTATACAGGCTGGTCCCATTTCCATTTTTAAAAAATTTTGTTTATATGTGGTTTTTTTTTTTCTGGAAGGACAGAATGATAGTCTCAGAAGAGAAGAGAATTTGAATTTTTCTTTTTTTTTTTTTTTTTTGAGACAGAGTCTTCGTCTGTCACCCAGGCGGAGTGCAGTGGGCGCGATCTCAGCTCCAACTGCAAGCTCACGCCTCCCGGGTTCACGGCCATTCTCCTGCCTCAGCGCTCGCCCGTAGCGGGGACTACAGTGCGCCTGCCACTCGCCGGGCTAAGTTTTTGTAGTTTTGAGTAAGAACGGGGTTTCACTGGTGTTAGCCAGCGGATCGGTCTCGATCTCGCTGACCTGCCTGAATCCGCCCGTTCTCGGCCTCCAAAGTGCCTGGGTTACAGGCTTGAGCCACCGGCGGGGCCCGGCTTTTTTTTTTTTTTTGAGACAGTCTTGGCCTGGTTACCCAGGCTGGAGTGCAGTGGCATGATCTCAGCTCACTACAAGCTCCGCCTCCCAGGTTCACACCATTCTCCTGCCTCAGCCTCCCCAGCAGCTGGGACTATAGGCACACGACGCCATTCCTGGCTAATTTTTTTGTATTTTTAGTAGAGACGGGGTTTCACTGTGTTAGCCAGGATGGTCTCCATCTCCTGACTTCATGATCCGCCCACCTCGGCCTCCCAGAGTGTTGGGATTACAGGCGTGAGCCACTGCGCCCAGCCGAGAATTTGAATGTTTTTTAAAAAAACCTATCTTTAAAAAAAAAAAATTACAGTAATGTACTGGCTTTTGTAAAAATTTTATTAAAAATTTCATTTTAGAAAAATTTTATTCAAAATTTCATTTTAGAAAAAAATGAAAAAAGTTAAATGCTACAGAGAAAGACAGTAACCAATCAGAATGAGTACTATACAAACATTCCTGTGTGCCTATTCTTCTGTTAGTTTATGCCACCTGATTTGTCATCTATCAACCATAAGGGCAGTGATGAGTTATAGTGCAATCGAATGTTTTCTTTCCATTCCAGAGCTCTACTGATTTCCATTCCCAAATTAATATCCTCTAGGATTCTGCCTTTTTATTGTCCTCCCAATTCATGGGCTGAAAGGCAGCAAACTCTCCTGGTTTGCCTTTCAATTACTACCATTATGAGGCAGTAATCAAACCCCCTAATCTGCTTGACTGATTTTGCTTTTCTTATTGCAATCTGGAAAGCCCTCTTCCTTCTCATTCAGGTTAGAGTCTACCAATCCCTCATCTCAACAGTATTTAATAACCTCTTTGGACAGGACGTTTGCTATACCCCATTCTGGAGGAGATGCATACCTTGCCACCTGCCCTGAAGAATTTGAGTGCTACTTAAGAAAGTTAAACGACAGGTCAACTTGTTACCAACTGGTATGAAAAACAAAAAGGGAGGAAAAAGAAAATTAAACCCCTGGGCCAGGCACGGAGGCTCACACCTGTAATCCCAGCACTTTGGAAGGCCAAGGCAAGCGGATTGCCTGAGGTCAGGAGTTCAAGACCAGCCTGGCCAACATGGTGAAACCCCGTCTCTATTAAAAATACAAAAATCAGCCAGGGTGCCTGTAATCCCAGCTACTTGGGAGGCTGAGGCAGGAAAATCATTTGAACTTGAACCTGGGAGGCAGAGGTTGCAGTGAGCCAAGACTGCACCACTGCACTCAAGCCAGAGCAACAGGGGTAAGACTCCGTCTCAAAAAAAAACAAAAACAAAAACAAAAAACTAAACCCCTAATTATAGGATTAATTACAATAGTATCTGTAAATTGATGATCAACATCAACCTTCAATCAAATCTAGAATGCTACCAGGTTTCTGTAGAGAACTTTCTCTCTCTTTACAAAAACAATTTCAAACATTCTCCATGATTGTCCACCTGTGAAATCACCCAAACTTCCCTCTGCTCACAATAGGATACTTCCTGTCATTTTTTGTGGGAAAAAACCTAAAGCTATCATATGGAAGCTCCTTAAACTCTCCATTACTAAATCTACAAACTTTCTTCATCTACATCCATCTCAATCCATCTTTTTTATTTTCCCTTCTGTTCCTTCTCCCCTCTAAGGCCCATTTTAAATCCTATCCCCTCTCATCTTTCCCCAAAACCTGATATTCTTTATCGTCACTGATGTTCTGTCTGTATATTCAAAACACTCTTGGTGTTTGAATCCCCTTCTTCGACTTACCTCATGTAAATCTCACTCCTCAGTCACTAATTTCAGAAAAGATTAAACTGGTTCTTGACACTTTATAAAGAAAAGAAATATGGGGAAAATGGTTTTTGAAACACAAGTCTGATCATGTTACCTTTCTGTTAAAGCTCATTTTGTGTGTGTGTGTGTGTGTGTGTGTGTGTGTGACAGAGTTTCGCTCTTGTTTCCCAGGCTGGAGTGCAATGACGTAGTCTCGGCTCTCTGCAACCTCCACTCCCGGGTTCAAGCAATTCTCCTGCCTCAGTCTCCCGAGTAGCTGGGATTACAGGCTTGCACCACCACGCCTGGCTAATTTTGTATTTTTAGTAAAGGGGCAGTTTCTCCATGTTGGTCAGGCTGGTCTTGAACTCCCGACCTCAGGTGATCCTCCCGCCTCAGCCTCCCAAAGTGCTGGGATTACAGACATGAGCCACTGCGTCTGGCCACACTGCCTTTTTATGGTGCTAAGGGTACAAGGGGAGTTCATGACCCAGGAACACACACATACTCACAAACACCTGCCCCTCTGTAATGCTGGGAATTTTTGATAAAAATTCTGAAAAAAAGACCTTAAAACTATCATTCATCTTCTAATTTCCTTACATCATTACAAAATACCAACTGAGACCACATATAATATTTAAAGTCAACAAAACTTTAGAATGAGCATCTGTTGGTGTTTTCATTGTTTATAAGCACTCTACCTTAAACATTCTAATATAGGATTCATTAAATAACTTTTTATTCATTAGGAAAGAAAGCTCTATAGTAAACCATCATGACTCCTCCTCGTACCTGGTGTGTAAGTAAAACGTTGAGACTGGCTTTTTTTCCTCTTGCCATTGCAAAGATAAAAGTGCACCTGCACTGCAGCTGTAACTGCTGGGTTATGATATGGAGGAACTTCAAGGACAATGTGAGCCTAAGGATGGAAAGCAAGATTGTGTTACACTCAGAACTAAAAATGAAATGCACCTGTTAAACACATCACAACTCATGAGTCTTAACTACAAGGCTCCAGCATAGATAATTCTGCACATCAGCTAGTCATATACATCATCTGGAAATTTACTATAGGGATACTTCAGTCTTGAAAGAGATTAAGAGCTTTAATCAATAAAAGAGAAACTGCTTTTTACTCACCCAATTGGGTTTCTGGTTGTAGCAGAAGTAAAAAGTCTTACATACGTAGTAAGATGTTTTGCTCTACTGAATATTACATGTTACTATGTTGTTTTTTTTTTGTTTTTTTTTTTTTTTTTGAGATGGAGTCTCGCTCTGTTGCCCAGGCTGGAGTGCAGTGGCATGATCTCGGCTCACTGCAAGCTCTGCCTCCCGGGTTCATGCCATTCTCCTGCCTCAGTCTCCCGAGCAGCTGGGACTACAGGCGCCCGCTACCTTGCCCGACTAATTTTTTGTATTTTCAGTAGAGACAGGTTTTCACCATGTTAGCCAGGATGGTCTCCATCTGCTGACCTCATGATCCGCCCGCCTCAGCCTCCCAAAGTGCTGGGATTACAGGCCGTGAGCCACCGCACTCGGCCCAAGTTTAGATTTCTTTTCTTAAATTTTACATTCAAAATGTTCTAAACTGGAGCCAGGTACAATAGCTCACACCTGTAATCCCAGCACTTTGGGAGGCTAAGGCAGGCAGATCAGTTGAGGTCAGTAGTCTGAGACCAGCCTAGCCAACATGTTGAAACCCCATCTCTACTAAAAATACAAAAATTAGCTGGGCATGATGTTGCATGCCTGTAGTCCCAGCTACTCAGGAGTCTGAGGCAGGAGAATCGCTTGAACTTGGGAGGCAGAGGTTGCAGTGAGCCGAGACTGCACCACTGCACTCCAGCCTGCATGACAGAGCTAGACTCCATCTAAAATAAATAAATAAAAATTTTAAAAATTAAATAATCCAAAATGTTCTAAACTAGCATTAAACAAAACGTGTATCTACATCAAAAATAATTTTACAAAACCCAAGGTGAAAATCTTTAGCCCCAAACCAAATGCAATCCTCAACCTAAATTGCTCCAGATCTTTGGAAAGCACTGTAGGAAGTGGTATTCCCTAGCCCAGAAAATACTCTTGTCTCCATTCCAACCACGATAACAAGACCAAAACTTTCAATGTAGAATCCTAGAAGGCTTAACTAAATAGCTGAAGGGTTAGAAATAGTGTGTTAAGTACACAATTCCCTAAGGACTTGTCTTGCTCCTATCTTTTACCTACTACATATGTTCTTTCTCTTTTTTATTTCTCCATGAAGGCCTATACATATGTTCTTTATTGAATTTGTTTTTATTCCTAAATGAGTTCAGAGAAATTAATGATAATTTCAATAAGAACCTTCTGATGGTCTTTCATTTCTAGTTTCTCTCCCCTGTATGCAATAGGGAGAAAACAAGACACTAACTGGCTATCTTTTCTAAACTTTAATTTAATTTGCTTTAATACTAGGTAAGTATTTTACTTCCAAACCTCTAGAAATTGTTTTTGCAGCTGGAAACCATCATTCTTACCAAACTATCACAAGAACAGAAAACCAAACACCACAGGTTCTCACTCATAGGTGGGAACTGAACAATGAGATCACTTGGACTCGGGAAGGGGAACACCACCTCTAGAAATTTTACTTTTTTAGACAGGGTCTCACTCTGTCACCCAGGCTGGAGTGCAGTGGCATGATCATGGCTTACTGCAGCCTTGACCTCCCAGGCTCAGGTGATCCTCCCACGTCAGCCTCCCAAGTGGCCGGGACTACAGGTGCATGTCACCACACATGGCTTATTTTTTGTAGACACAGGGTTGCTCAGGCTTGTCTTGAACTCCTGGGCTCAAACAATCCTCCTGCCTCAGCCTCCCGAAGTGCTGGGATTATAGGCATGAGCCTCATGCCCGGCCTAATTTTACTTTTTTATTAATCAATATACAAAAGAGTCATCCATACCATAAAGCAGCATTATTCAATTTTCTATTCAGTGTCTTAAATATTTCTTAAGAATTAAGGTGGGCCAGGCGCGGTGGCTCAAGCCTGTAATCCCAGCACTTTGGGAGGCTGAGACGGGCGGATCACGAGGTCAGGAGATTGAGACCATCCTGGCTAACACGGTGAAACCCCGTCTCTACTAAAAAATACAAAAAAACTAGCAGGGCGAGGTGGCAGGCGCCTGTAGTCCCAGCTACTCGGGAGGCTGAGGCAGGAGAATGGCGTGAACCCGGGAGGCGGAGCTCGCAGTGAGCTGAGATCGCGCCATTGCACTCCAGCCTGGGCAATAAAGTGACACTCCGTCTCAAAAAAAAAAAAAAAGAATTAAGGTGAATTTCTTACCCCTTGACATTTTTCCCTGATTATCTTCCCTTCTACCTCCCAATGAGGTCGTCCATCTATTGAAAGAAAGAGTTTATAGTTAAAAGAAATTCATATCAGAAAGCATACAGACAAAATCTAATGCATGTAGTATCACAAATTTATTAGCAAAGGGGATCTTTTTTCCAGACTTCCATTATGAAAATAAAATGTAAATGCATACAAATGGGGAAAAAATAAGGAGAAAGATCATGGGCTGCCCAGGTTAGCAGATCCCACAGAGTTCATTCTAACCATCTACCCAAGTGATGTTTAAAAGCCCTCTGAGAACACCCCCATCAAGTGGTGGCCAACTTTTGCTTGTGTAACTAAAATGATAGGAAACTCACTTCCTCACCAGGTAACTCTTTCCATCTTGGATAATAATTGCTGCTAGAAAGTTCCTCATGATAAATGAAATGTCTCTTTATGGTATCTAACAACTAGTCTAAATATTATTCCTTGCTGTCACAAAATAAAATCTTGATTGCTTCTCTGTGAGATTATATTTCAGATGTTGAAAAGCTGTTATATCTGCTTGTGTCTCCTCTCCTACTGGCTAGCATCCCCAGTTCTGTGCCTATTCCTTACATAATATTTTAGACTTCATGGTCTCTGGTTAAATATGCTCCTCCAAATTCACAAGGCCCAGGACTGAATAGCCTACGTGAGAAATGACCAAGTGTGGTACAGAATGACTGAGGCTCTAACCACTGTACATGGAAATGCTGTGTCTTTGTTAATGAAAGCTTTCTTGAGGTGCGGGGGGGAAGTTTTCTTGGGAGCACCATATGCTGACTCTCACACTAAGTATATGACGAAGTGTCTATACATTTCCTACTGCCATGTTCCCACACTGTGCACTTATGCAGCTGAGTTGTTTTTTTTCTCCCAACACTTTGGAACATTACTTACTCCCAGCAGGGAGACTTCATTTTGTTGGATCCCTTGACTTGCCAAAATATTTTTTAGATACTGATGGTCCTAAAAAATGTTTCCTAGGCTTTCCAGATTTCTGTCACCTGAAGATTTGGCCAACACATTTTCTGTCTCTTCATCCCAAGTGAACTACTCATTTGGAGACAGCCTTATCTGCTATTAAAGCTCTCCAACTGATGTACAATTATTCCAAAGCATTTTTTGTGTGTGTGTCATGGGCATTCACTCAGTGACTAAGCCACACACAGCTTGCAGCACTTCTTCATCTGGTCTGCGAAGTTATCGTGAGAGATTTCATCAAATGCTTTCCAGGTTGTAACCATCACTTTCCAGTCCAGTAATTAGAAAATGGCTACTTCTGCTGCACAAGAGATACTACAGGCAAGTGCTACACCTACTTAGAATTATAGCTCAGTTCAGCAATCATTTGCTGGATCCTTATGTGCCACTTTGTGTTACTGACATAACTGAGACAGGATGCTCTGCCTTCAGCCTGTGGATGAAAGGCAAATGCAAACAGTTCATTATAATAAAATGTGTTGGGTACAATAATTAATAAAGGTACACTCTGGATAAACCAAGAACACAGGGATCAGGGTCTTTAACCTAATCTTGGGGAGGGGTAGTGAGACAAGGAAGGCTTCCTGGAAGAGCTCTTGAACTCAGACTTAACATGAGACAGAACTCATATGAGGAAAGGGTAAATTATAGACAGAAGAGACAGCATGAGCAAAGACAAGATGACAAGAACTCCTAAGATACAGAGACTTACAAGTAGCTGTGATGTTGTATAAAGTATGAGGCAAGGAGCAGTAAGAAAGAGGGTTGGAAAGACTGGCAGCAGATTACGGCCTGAATGCCATAATAAGGAGCCTAGAAAATGAAGGGGATTGCTGAAGGTGCTTTTAAAATGGGAGTTACATGTTTACAACTGCAATCTCCTCTAAAGCCAGTAACTGTCACCATTTAACATGATTCAACTTCAATCAAAAGTTCTTAAATGTGAAGCTCTGGGTCAAATAAATGAATTCAATAATACCTATTAATTGTATTCAGGCACAGATGAATTTTTAGAGTGGAAAGGAAGGGACGGCTCTGAGACACCATCTCTTTCTCATGCTCCTTATTCACGTAAAACGTGACACATACAGAAAGACACTCCTTGATGACTTGATATAAACAGTTCACAATTCAGTCTCTATCACTCTACCCTCTTACTTCATACAGTTTTACCTGGAATAATCTTGTTCATTTATTTGTTTATAAGTGCTTCCCCACTAGAATGTAAGCTCTATCAGAACACGCAACCTGAAGGTTGTATTCAACATTATATCCCCAATGCCTAGACTAGTGTCTATATCACATAGCAATGCTTCATAAATAATTGATGAATTAATAAATGATGAAACAGAACTGATGTTTTTTGAAGACAGGCAGGGTATGGGTCAGGGTTGAAGGGAAGTGAATTTTAAAGGAGAAGAAGACAGCCACATACTTTCCAGCTCAAAGAGAAGATGCTATTATTAATCAAGTTAAGAAACCCAGAGAGATAAACTAGTTTGTGAAGTCAGGTATGTTTTCATATTTTAAGTCTCAGTGAGACATTTATAAAGCAATATCTAGTGGGTACTTTAAATTTCAGGTTAAAATTTAAGAGAAACATGTTGCTACAGAGAGAGATTTGGGAGCTAATAAAATTTATCAAAAAGAAGAAAGATAATGAGAAGAAAAATGAATATAAAACCTTAGAAAATATCTATATTTAAGAACCAGAAAAATTCACATAAAAAGACGAACAAGAATAAAGATGTGTGAGAACCAGATAACAACAAAGTCAAGGGGGAAAAGTGTTAAGAAGGAGAGGAAGTAGCTGGCTGTCAAATTTTTAGGTGATTATGATTTCAATGAAGTGAAAGACAAAAGATTAAAGAGTAGCAGGTAAGGAAATGAAAGCAAATGACACTACTTTTTTGAGAGGGTGGATGCTAAGCGACAGAGAAATGAAACAAAAGCTTAAGAGGATGACAGATTTAAGAGAAAGGGAATATTTAGGATGAGAAGACAGAAACATAATTAAACTCCAAAAAGAAGGATCCAGTAAAAAAAGATAGAGAAATTACAAAAAGAGAGGTGATGGGGGCACAGTATAGCCTTTAATACTTAAGTTTTAAAAAGATAAAAGAATGAAAACTGATATTAAAATTTTAATTAAGAAAAAACATAATAAACAAAAAAAAAGTGAAAAGAAGTTAAATACAGAAATCAGTGAAACAGAAAGGCACACTGAAAGGTTTGATAAAGCCAAGAACTATGGAAAGACTGGTTAAAAATCCAGAAATGGCATAAATAAATAGCAGGAATAAAAGAAAGGGGGATATAACTCCAGATGCAAAAAGAGAATACTGTGAGCTAATTAATGTCAACAGATTTGAAAACGTAGGGGAAAGGAATAAAGTCCTAGAAAAATATATATGACCAGGCAGGCACAAAGGCTCACACCTGTAATCTGAGCACTTTGGGAGGCCAAGATGGGCGCATCACCTGAGATCAGGAGTTTGAGACCAACCTGGCCAACATGGTGAAACCCCATCTCTACTAAAAAAAATACAAAAGTTAGATGGGCATGCTAGCGGGCACCTGTAATCCCAGCTACTTGGCAGACAGAGGCAGGAGAATCACTTGAACCCGGGAGGCAGAGGTTGCAGTGAGCCAAGACTGCACCACGGCACTGCAGCCTGGGAAACATGAGTGAAACTCTGTATCAAAATTAAGAAAGAAAAGAAAGAAAGATATACATGACCAGAACAAACTCAGGAAGAAACAAATCTGACTAGTCCTGCAACCACGAATAGAAATATATCACAAGTTAATGGCTCCCCACAAAGACAGTTCCCTGTCCAGAAGGTTTTGGAGGTGAGCTCTGTCACATGTGCAAGGGAATATGAGAGTACCCAACACAAATGCTGTTAAGGAATGGGAAAAGATGAGGCACTTCCCCCAATTCACTCTGCTATCCAGAATATATAAAGAATTCCTTAAGTCACTAAGAAAATGAAAAATGATCCAATGGAGAAAATAGGCAAGGAACACAGTTATTGCACAGCAAATGAATATGAATGGTCCATAACAACCTCAATAGCTATCAGGGAAATTCAAACCCAAACTTCAAGATACCATTTCACCCCTACTGGATTAACAAAATTTAAGAATTTTAATATTCTTGCCTATGTTTACCAGGTACAGCAGTGTCAAAAACTGGACAATATCCAAATATCCAGTAAGAGAAACGATAATAAACTGTGGTACATTCATACAATGAAAAACTTTATAGTAGTGAAAGGTCTTCAGTTACATGGATCAGTCTTAAAACATTAAGACCTCTGAAAATACAATTTTTCAAGAATACAGGCAATATTGTACAAAGCCCAAAAACAGGGGAAAAAAAAAAAAGATGTGAGCATTTACGTTGTTTCCACTTTTTGGGCACCTGTAATCCCAGCTACTCGGGAGGCTGAGGCAGGAGAATCGCTTGAACGTGGGAGATGGAGGCTGCAGTGAGCTGAGAAAGTCCCACTGCACTCCAGCCTGGGTGACAGAGTGAGGCTCCATTTCAAAAAAAAGAAAAGCAAGGGTCGATTCGGGTGGCGGTTCCATTTGAGAAGGGGGACCCAGAGGCCTTCAAAGGTAAATGTATTTCTTAAACTTGGCAGTAGGTTTAAGTATTTGTTATATTACTCTTATAAAAATAGTGTTTCATGACTGGCACGTAGATCTTAGCACTTTGGGAGGGTGTGGGCAGATCACTCGAGGTCAAGAGTTCAAGAACCAGGCTGGTCAACATGGCAAAACCCCATGTCTACCAAAAATACAAAAATTAGCCAGGTGTGGTGGCACATGCCTGTAATCCCAGCTACTCGGGAGGCTGAGGCAGGAAAATCGCTTTAACCTAGGAGGCGGAGGTTGCAGTCAGCCAAGATTGTGCCATTGCATTCCAGCCTAGGTGACAGAAGAAGTCACTGTCTCAAAAAAAAAAAAAAAGTCTTTCATAAGCTCTAAATGTTTTAAAACTGAGAGGAAATAACTGACGTAAAAGTGTTTTAAATATGCACAAGAAAGAATAAAATCAAGGCCGGGCACGGTGGCTCACGCCTGTAATCCCAGCACTTTGGGAGGCCAAGATGGGCGGATCACAAGGTCAGGACATTGAGACCAGCTTGGCTAACATGGTGAAACCCCGTCTCTACTAAAAATACAAAAAATTGGCCGGGCGTGGTGGTGGGCACCTGTAGTCCCAGCTACTTGGGAGGCTGAGGCAGGAGAATGGCGTGAACCCAGGAGGCGGAGCTTGCGGTGAGCCAAGATCGTTCCACTGCACTGCAAGCCTGGGAAACAGAGCAAGACTCCCTCTCAAAAAAAAAAAGAAAAAATCAAACACCCTGATAAATATTGAATTCTTCTACTTTAAAAATAATTGAGGTATAATTCAAATACTACAAAATCTATCCTTTTAAAGTATACAACTCAGAGGGTTGGGGGATATTCACAGAGCAGTACAATCATCACCACTAATTCCAGAACATTTCCATCACTCCAAAAGGAAACCCAGTTCCCATCAGCAGTCACTCACCACTAACAACTTCCTCCAACCACTGGTAACCAGTAATCTACTTTTGGTTTCTGGATTGCCTATACTGGACATTTGATATAAATGGGGTCATATACTATGTGTCCTTTTGTGCTAGCTTCCTTCTCTGAGCCTATTTTCAGGGTTTATCCATGCTGTAGCATGTATGAGTACTTCATTAATTTTTATGACTAAATAATATTCCACTGTGTGGATATATCACATTTTGTTTACCCATTTATCAGTTGGTGAGCATTTAGGTTGTTTACATTTTTTTTGGCAATTATAAATAAAGTTGCTATAAATACTTGTCTGTAAGTTCATGTATGGACATGTATTTCTAACCCTTTCAAGTATATACCTAGGAGTAGAGTTGCTGGGGGAATTCTACTTTTCAGACATCTTAAATTACTATTATTATATTATTACTTAGAAACAAGGTTTCACTTTGTTACCCAGGCTGAGGAGTGAAGTGGCACAATCAGAGCTCACTGTAACCTAGAACTTCTGGGCTCAAGTGATCCCCCTGCCTCAGCCTGAGTAGCTGGAACTATAGGCATGTGCCACCATGCCCAGCTCCTTAAAGATAATTTAACATTTACATGAAAATTTAATAAATATTTGGTTTAAAATAGACTCTAGTGCAAAATGACACCCATAGCTTTATGAAAACTACTTTGTAATTTTTGTTACTGAAACATCTAAATAATTTATTTTACCCTTTGCCCCTTAGTTTGAAGTCAATCAACTCATATATTACTTACCTTGTCCTTTTTCAAGAAAAATGATTTTGGATTCTGGAAGAAAATTAGATCCAGTCACAATCATTTCATGACCTCCATTTACAGAACAACTGTTGATACTGTACTTCTCAATATGAGGAAGTTCTTGAGCAGACCGCTGGGCTGTTTTGAATTTTTTTAAAGAGTTGAGAAAAAACAAAATATTAGTTAAAAATCTTTCATACACAAATGACAAACTCAAGCTACAAAAAGAAAATAAAGAGAAGCAAATTTTGGGATTAATTCATTCAGACTTTTAAAATTCAAGACAATGGTAACACAACACACTAAAAGAACTAAGTTGTTTATAAAACAAAATAGATATATTAATGTGATTTCTAAGTATATTTATTTAAGACAGGGTCTCACTCTGTTGCCCAAACTGGAGCACGGTGATGTGATCATAGCTCCCTGCAGCCTCCAACTCCTGGGCTCAAGTGATGCTCCCATCTCAGCCTCCCAAGTAACTAGGATTACAAATGCACGCCACTGTGCCTGGCCAATTTTTTTTTTTTTTAAACAGTAACATGGTCTCACTTTGTTGCCCAGCCTGGTCTCAAACTCCTGGCTTTAAACAGTCCTCCTGCCTTGGCCTCCCAAAGTGCTGGCATTATAGGCCTGAGCCACCACACCCAGCCAATTATTTTCTTAGACTACAACTATAAAGAAACTGATAAAACTTCATTAATATCTTCAACTTCATATTGACTCCAACACATTTACCTCATCTGCTTTTCTCTTTTTTGCTTAAATGTTTAATATGTTTCTTCCATGCAATAACTATCCATTAAAATCTATAAATCTAATTATAAAAAGTATGTTAAGTTCAAAGATGTAAAATTATATTGCATGCAATGAAGAGAAGACAAGTTCTAGGGAACTACTAGCGGACAAACACCAAGTAAGCCTTTCTTTTTAAATTCATTTTTAAAATTTTATTTATTTATTTTTTGAGACGGAGTCTCGCTCTCTCGCCCAGGCTGGAGTGCAGTGGCGCAATCTCAGCTCATGGCAACCTCCGCCTCCGGAGTTCAAGCGAATCTCCTGCCTCAGTCTCCTGAGTAGCTGGCATAACAGGCACGTGCCACCATGCCCAGCTAATTTTTGTATTTTTAGTAGAGACGGGGTTTCACCATGTTGGTCAGGCTGGTCTCAAACTCCTGGCCTCAGGTGATCTGCCCACCTCAGCCTCCCAAAGTGCTGGGATTACAGGCGTGAGCCACTGCGCCCAGCCTGTATTTTTATTTTTTTAGAGACAGAGTCTTGCTCTGCTGCCCAGGTTATTTATTGCCCAGTGTAGCATGATCACAGTTTACCGAAGCATCAAACTCCTGGGCTCAAGTAATCCTCTCACCTCAGCCTCCCAAGTAGCCAGGACTACAAGCATGTGCCATCGTGCCTAGCCGATTTTTAAATTTTTATTTTTGTAGAGACAGGGTCTCACTTTGTTGCCCAAGCTGTTCTCGAATTCCTGGGCTCAAGTGATCCTCCCATGTTGGTCTCCCAAAGTGCTGGGATTACAGGTGTGAGCCACTGTGTCCAGCTATTTACATTACCAACTTTTATAAACAGCATTTATGGTGTCACCTTTCTCTGATAATGACTGGTTCCAAGTTGCTACATTTTCTGGCGATCCTATTTCTGGCATTTCTTTCTTTCTTTTTTTTTTTTCTTTCTTTTTCTTTTTTTTTTTTGAGACAGAGTCTCGCTCTGTCGCCCAGGCTGGAGTGCAGTGGCCAGATCGCAGTTCACTGCAAGCTCCGCCTCCCGGGTTTACGCCGTTCTCCTGCCTCAGCCTCCCGAGTAGCTGGGACTACAGGCGCCTGCCACCTCGCCCTGCTAGTTTTTTTGTATTTTTTAGTAGAGACGGGGTTTCACCGTGTTAGCCAGGATGGTCTCGATCTCCTGACCTCGTGATCCGCCCGTCTCAGCCTCCCAAAGTGCTGGGATTACAGGCTTGAGCCACCGCGCCCAGCCCATTTCTTTCTTTTAATTGCTTGAGTTTCAAATTGTAGATTATACTTATTTTCATTGTGTAGGTTCTCTAACGGTTGTTTTTGCTTGTTAGATTTCAGAAAGGGTCATCCGCTGTCACCCAGGATGAAGTGCAGTGGCGTGATCACAGCTCTGCCACCTCAATCTTTTGTGCTCAAGTGATCCTCAGATTTCACCCTCCCTAGGAGCTGGGATTACAGGAATGCATTACCATACACAACTAAAAAAAAAATTTTTTTGTAGAGACAGGGTCTTATTATGTTACTCAGGCTGGCTCAACTCCTGGGCTCAAGCTGTCCTTCTGGACATAAGCAGTACTCCTGCCTATGCCTCCCAAAGAGTTGGGATTACAGGTGTGAGTTGGCACACCTGGCCTCTAATGGTTTCTCCTTGCCAACTACCTAGATACCTAGGTTTCTCTCTGAATTAAAACAAAATTTAAAAGTGTTGATTATATCTCTTCACATTTGGAAAACAGGTCCACTTTTATTCCTAGTATGTGGGTGGGAAAACTGGTGGGTTTGAAGATCAGCTGTGTTTTGTTTGGCTAGCAGAGTATTTTAAGGACATTTAAAAATCAATGCCGTTAGGAAATCATCCATTCCCAGGTCACAACAGCTCTCAACTACTTAATACCTAGTCACAAAAGTACATAAATTGGGACCCCAGCCCCATTCAAAGAGAGTATTGTAATCAATTATTTCATAGAAGATGCCTATGCAGACCTGGCGTGGTGGCTCACGCCTGTAATCCCAGCACTTTGGGAGGCTGAGGCGGGCAGATCACCAGGTCAGGAGTTCGTGACCAGTCTGACCAACACGGTGAAAACCCGTCTCTACTAAAAATACAAAAATTAGCCGGGCGTGGTGGTGCGTGCCTGTAATCCCAGCTACTCTGGAGGCTGAAGCAGAAGAATCGCTTGAACCCCGGAGGCGGAGGTTGCAGTGAGCCAAGAGATCACGCCACTGCACTCCACCCCTGGGCGAAAGAGTGAGACTCCATCTCAAAAAAAAAAAAAAGAAAAGAAAAGAAAAAGATGTGTATGCAGCCAGGCGCAGTGGCTCATGCCTGTAATCCCAGCACTTTGGAAGGCAGAGGCAAGTGGATCACCTGAAGTCAGGAGTTTGAGACCAGTCTGGCCAATATGGTGAAACCCCATCTTTACTTAAAAATAAAACAATTAGTCGGGCGCGGTGGTGCATGCCTGTAATCCCAGCTATTTGGGAGGCTGAGGCAGGAGAATCTCTTGAACCTGGAAGGCAGAGATTGTAGCAAGCCAAGATCATGCCATTGCACTCCAGCCTGGGCAATAGAGTGAGACTGTCTCTAGAAAAAAAAAAAGAAAAGAAAAGAAAAAAAAGATAGGTATGGGATTTAGGATTAACTATTACTTGGGATGTACCAAGCACCAACCTAGATCTCAGAAAATGCTCATGTCTCTACTGTTCTAAATAGGTCATGGAGAAGGGGCCTGATTACAGGTACATTCTAAGTAACAGCAAAAGTGTGTTCAGGCTGGGTGTGTTGGCTCACACCTGTAATCCCAGCACTTTAGGAAGCCAAGGCCGGCAGATCATCTGAGGTCAGGAGTTCAAGACCAACCTGGCCAACATGGTGAAACCCCATCTCTACTGAAAAATACAAAAATTAGCCAGGCGTAGTGGCAGGCACCTGCAATCACAGCTACTGGGAAGGTTGAGGCAGGGTGAATTGTTTGAACCCACAAGGCGGAGGCTGCAGTGAGCTGAGATTGTGCCACGGTACTCTAGCCTGGGTGACAGAGCAAATCTCCATCTCAAAAGAAGATAAAAATCTGTTCAACAGATGGCATAAACATGCCAAAAAACTACTCGTGTGGTGAAGATATTTTTGAAGAATATTTATTATTTAATAACATTTAAATAATACTTAATATTTAATAACAGAAGAAAATGTCTATGATAGTATAAGTGAAAACTGCAAAACAAGATATAAAACTGTATCAGATAAGGCCAATTAAAAAACATTGTGTGTGTATGTGTATTTATAAAAAGACATACAAATACAATAAAAGAAAATCCAGGCTGGGCCTAGTGGGATTACGCCTGTAATCCCAACCCTTTGGAAGGCTGAGGTGGGCAGATTACTTTTTTTTTTTTTGAGACGGAGTCTCGCTCTGTCACCCAGGCTGGAGTGCAGTGGCCGGATCTCAGCTCACTGCAAGCTCCGCCTCCTGGGTTCACGCCCCACCCACCTTGGCCTCCAAGAGTACTGGGATCTACAGTCATGAGCCACAGCGACTTGGCCAATTTTATTTTAAAAAAAAGAAAA